TATCTTGTATAGAATCCTTCGTTTCAAGATTCGAGGAACTGTGTAACACTGTAAAGATAGAGCTGTAAGAGATTGGACACGCTCTCGAATCGGAGAAAATTGGCAACGGAGAACTCGTGATCTATGGATCACCGACTTCAGTCTATTGCTGAGTCGAACACCTCTCGACGAGTCCTGTTCGATCAATTCGAATGAACCGTTTCCAAAACGACTGCGATCTCTGGGGCTGATTCGTTGTTGCACGTCGATTCGACGTTCTTCTACGGAGAAGAGATACGTCGCGGCGAGGGACGCACTCTTTCGTTTGATTTCGTGCAGAGGAGAGAACACGAAGGAGCCAGCACCTATACTACCTTCCTTATCGCGTCGCCGCGAGCATTTAGTTTATTTAACGAGCTACGAACGGCTTCAGAACGAAAAATTGTTTCTCGTTAACGCTACGTCGCTCTCGATCAACAATCGGTAGAAATTTAGCTGAAACGTCTGCGAACAGGAGAGCGACGTAGCTTCCTCTCTGTTAGCCTAGAGGAGAGAGATCCTTATGAGTCCTAAGATGCTCGTTCCTCGAGCTACACTACTATGGATCGCGATTCTAATTCCAATTAAAATGCACTGCCGACGAATCGTGGCGAACGCGCGACGGTATCGACGAGTTCGACGAACGGAAGTATCGTGTTTCGAAGGATGGAAGAACGAAGAAGAAGAAGGATCGTTCGAATCGTCCGGAGTCGTCTTTGGTGTAGATAGATAGGACTAATTAGTATAATTTCCGAGACTATGTTTATGTAAGCGCTTCCGTGGCGAGATCTCGCTTTGGTTTTCCCTTTTTTTCTTTTTTAGACTTGAACGAGTCGCTCGAATCGGCCTCCAAGAGAGAAAACCTCTGGAGCACGCGAACTTTCCTTGCGTTCTTCTGCCTGCCTTTCGGCGTTGCGTTTCAATCGTAGTTTCAAGTTCTTATTTTCTTTTCTTTTGTCACGTGTGACGACATCGTTGACGAATGATTTAGGGTATTGCAAGCGGGCTGGCGAGAAAGAGTTCTGTTTCCAAGCGAGAACGATCGTCGTTAATTCGTGTCGTTTAAGTGTTTATATTACCAGTAGTAGTTTAATACGATTTGTACGGTGTGCACGGCTTGAAGAAACTCAGACACACGCCGAAATCGTGACGAGCGCCACGGTATCCATAAATTACGTTCTGAGTGTGATTTTAGTTTAAGGAACTTAGCTAGCCAGTAGATATTCCGCGATGATTACCTTAGGGGACATTTTTAGGTAGCGATTATAGATAAGCGTTTTGCGACCCTCGCTCTTTCCATTTATCCCCGCGGGAACAGACCGCGGAACGACAGACGAGGCGAGAATATAAAAACGCATGTGTTCTCTTTTTGTACGCAGAAAACTACTCTGATTTCGAAAGACTAACACGACCCGTTGAAGAGGAGCCGCTTGACGGATGGTATCAACGCGAGCGTTGTAACGAACGGTATCGTTTTAAGTGACACACTTTTGTTTGTTTTTTTTTAGCAATTGTGTATTAAGGACGACGAACTGGTGGATGCGACGAAATAATCGCGGTAGAAGGAATTGCAAAGGCCTTTCCCACGAGACACGATTTTTCGAACGATCACAATCGAGACCGTCGTTCTTTTTTTCACTTCACGCGACAATTTTCGAGAGAGAGAGAGAGAGAGATGTGTGTCTGTGTAATGTTTAAACGAAAGGACGAGAAGAAAAAAAGAAACTTTCCTTCGTGTACAGAGAATTGTGTGAGTAACGGTTTAAGAGGGATGATTCTATATATAATACGCGATGATTTGCGCGTGTGTTTAATTGTCTCGGAGGATTTGAAACGTTTGATAGAGCCTTTCTTCGTCGAAGTTTTCCTTTCTTTTTCTTTTTTTTTATATTTTTCGGTTTTTTCTCCCTTTGTATAAATTAACGTAAAAGCAGTGTTGGTCTGATCGTTTCGGCTAGCCGAAAGAAAAGGCGCTTCTCTCGTCATTTGTAAATAGGTCATATCGCGTTCACCGTGTACATACGTATAGTAGCTCATGAATTGAATCACCACACACACACACACACACACGTATATATACACAGTTGTACACATACACGTAGACACATACCGAATGAACAATTTGCAATCGCGTCGAATAATTAGCGAGAGGTCCTTGACTGGCGAAATTTTCGTCGCGTCTGATAATCACTGTCGAACATCGATCGATGTTTGAAGACGACGAAAATTATGTACGAAACAATTTCGACGTATCGGCAAGTTCCTCTGAGGACTTTCGTTTTAATCACTCGCCTTGTATCTTCTTTTTTTAAATAGGTTTCGTTGTTTTAATATTGCGAGATTGTAACACGTTGAAGTACTTTCTTTTTGTAAATTAGTATTAAATAATTTCTGATTTTAAAAAATGACTGTTGGAACAGTTTGCAATCCAGTACTTCTTTACGACTCGGTAATTATAATACGAAGGGGTTGATATCGTTTATATCGTCACTTCACCGATCGTAGCTTTCCGATTTTAACGTAGAATCCTTCCTTTTTTACCGTTGTTTTCTTTTTCTTTTTTTTTTTAAATTCGTGAAAGGTTTTATCGCGAACTCGAGGACTTTTATCTTCGAATAAACTTCGAGTCGAACTTGTCAATTCTTCGTCGGGAAAATAGCTCGCGAACGAATATTTTCTCTCGAGCGAAGAGAATTGAAGGAAGGGAGAAGAAAATTGAGATTTATCTATCGATCCTTTCCGAACGATAAGTCCTGAGAGAGGAACTGCTTCTCGTCGAAGTTCGATTACGCGATTTAATTAATCACACCGAGAGAGAGAGAATCGTGAAGATGAAAGTGAGCGAGAGAGAAGATAGTAGAATGTGTGCATGAGAGAGAGAGAGAGAGAGAGGAAGGGAATGAGTGTGTGGAATTAATGTTTCCTATTAAACGATGAGAAGAAAAAAGAAACGAGCAAAGTGAAATGAGGATAATTATTGTAGATGATTACTTAAAGACAAGAATTTGTAAATACGTAGAGCTCACTGTAGCTGGCCAGTTGGGCATTTAACGATACACACCTCGAGGGACTGGGAAAAAATGTTGCTCGACAGAAGGGAAGTAACGAAACGTGAAACAAAAAGAAAAAAAAAAAAATGGTAACAAAGGTGTGAAAATTGAAACGGAATAGAGGTGAAGAGAGATGGAAGGATTATAATACACTCTCTTCGTTGCACGTTACACGTACACACGCACACACACACAGGCGAACAAACCAAGAATTCTTTTTTTTCTTCCGAAAAATCAATCGAAGAAACACACCGAAGAACGTCTGTGTGTTTTCTTTCTCGGTCTCGTCGGTCCCGTGTTACACACGCGTGTGTAAGTAACCGATCGAGACGATAAAACGAATAATAACTGGAGGCTAGGTGATAATGCATAAGTCGTAAGGTACCTACGTTATTAGATAATGAAGCTAATTAAGCGACGAGAAGAAGAAACTCCACGTATACTCGACACTAGCGAATATGCCTTGATTATTGGAAAGTGGCTGGGCACGTGAGATGCACCCAAAACGAACAGAAATAAAGTTGCTACGGATTATTGAAAAAAAAAAAAAAAATGGACAAAAGAGAACAAAACAGCAAAAGAAGCGAGAGAAAAAAAAACGACTGCAAAACGGTGATGGTTCTCTCGTCTCCGATTTGACACGTCATTTTTTTTTTTTTTTTTTGTTTTTTACCTCGTTCCTCCTTTCACCCACCAATTTCTTTCACACACACATTTCTTTCCTTTTTTCTTTATTTTCAGTTGTCCGAGAAAACGGTGTTTCTTTCAGGTTTTCGCGCACACCGTTCTCTCCTTCGTCGGGGAAAGAATGTATCTAATCGATTCACCGTCCTTCGTTTCTGTTTTTTTTTTTTTTCGTTTCTGCTCGGAGAGACAGAGCCAGTCGGCTGACGAGATACGGCGATTTCGACGATAAAACTGCCATAAAAGTACCGCTTAGTTTCGCGACGACAGTGAGCCACGTGTAGCTGAGACAATTCGCGAACATAGAAATAAATAACCTGGGATGATTAGTACTTAATGCACTAGTAGTTCCTCGGGAGATCCTCGGGAGATCCTCGAGAGATCCTCGGGAGATCCTCGGGAGATCCTCGGGAGATCCTCGGGAGATCCTCGAGAGATCCTCGGGAGATCCTCGGGAGATCCTCGGGAGTTCCTCTCGAACTCCTCAAGATCACTATGAAGAGAATCCCTTGCAAGAATTTTAACTCAAACTTTACCCAACTTTTTCTCCCTCCCGATAATCGAAGTTTAAAGGGACACTGTAAGAAATGTGTATATTTTTGATCCATCTCTGATTTAAGAAAAGGCTAACTGGCGTGTCTCTCTGAGAGGCGATCCCTGCAATTGGTCCACCACACGCACACACATCAAAGAGAGACCGAGAGATAGAGTGAGGTGAGGCATAGGACGAGAGGCAAGAGGGACGAAAGTTTCGCGATCCATTGTGAGAGCTCTGTCTGAATCGAGCCAGAAATCGAAGTAAAAGCGCCAAGCACTTTTCACAATTTCGCTTTTTGTACAGCGGTGGAATTAACCGAGCGTTCAAAATGGACACACACACACACACACACGATGATGGAGGAGAGATAGAGATAGAGATAGAGAAGAGAAGTGCAGGAATTCTGTCGCCGTTCTTCGTAGCGGAGGATGAAAACGTGACGACCTGC